TAGGAGCTGACAATCTAATGAGGCGGTCCTCTTATGGCCATTGATCAGAAGTGATCATTATTGATGATTTGATTGGTGTAGGGCGCCCTCTAGAGGATAATCCCGGTACTGCAGGGACACAGCTACTGTAGCTTCTCCTGGAGTATTGATTAGGTGGCCGCTGGTCATCATTCAGGAAATCCGATCAGAGTATTGATTAGGTGGCCGCTGGTCATCATTCAGGAAATCCGATCAGAGTATTGATTAGGTGGCCGCTGGTCATCATTCAGGAAATCCGATCAGAGTATTGATTCTAATCATTTCACTTGTCTCTCAGGTGGTTCTGAGTGACACGGACAGCGGTCTGCAGATCTCCACCAGCGACAGGACGTCGGAGTTTATAGAGAGCGAGGGTCCGGCTCTCAGCCTCAGGGGTCTCTCCAGCAGCCTGCGCACCTCCTCCCCCATCCGCCGCTCCTCTCCGCACCGCAGCACGTCACCGAGGCGCAGCCTGTCGCCGGCATTCCGGGACTCTGCGTTGTCAGCCGTGCACTCCGCTCTGCAGAGGAGACAGCTGCAAGTGCAGGTAAGGGGAGCCGCCGTGACGGGCTATGTGTACGAGCGCCTGAGCAGTCTCATTGTCTTAGCGCGGTCCACCCCCGTGACTGGTTACATTCTTATAAGTTCGGCTTTGTCTTTGTTCACTTTTCTGGGTCCAATTATCAAAAAGAACGTCCTGAGAGTGGAAAGTGCGTAGAGGAGGAGAAATCATAGAGAATGTTAGATGAGGAAAGACAGCGGAGGTGAGGATTGATAGAAGAGACGTTTATTCTTCATACGAGGGAAGGATTCTTTACTGTTAGAGCTGTAAAAGGACAGAAAAGTCTTCCCCGGGGCTGCTTGTAGCACACACAGTTTGGGGAGTTTTCCTATGAGGGGTGACAACTCTACACAGCAGAACGTGGAGTCAGCCATGAGTGAGGTCTATACTGGAGTGAGGTCTATACTGGAGTGAGGTCTATACTGGAGTGAGGTCTATACTGGAGTGAGGTCTATACTGGAGTGAGGTCTATACTGGAGTGAGGTCTATACTGGAGTGAGGTCTATACTGGAGTGAGGAGGTCTATACTGGAGTGTGGTCTATACTGGAGTGTGGTCCATACTGGAGTGTGGTCTATACTGGAGTGAGGTCTATACTGGAGTGAGGTCTATACTGGAGTGAGGAACGCTCAATGTTTATTGTTACAGGACCTGCGGGGGCGGCTGGAGGCCGGACAGGAGACGGTCGGCACGCTGCGCAAACAGCTGAGCGACAGCGAGAACGACCGGCGGGCCCTGGAGCAGAAAATCGCCCTGCTGCAGCAAGATCTCGGCACTACCGGCATTGCCAAGGATGACGCAGAGCGCGCCGTCTCCAGACTGCGCAACAACCTAGAGCAGGTCAACAGGTACTGACACCGGCAGGGTGCTGAGATAAGAACAAATACAGAACAAGCCCCGGATTCCAAAATGCTGCCGCCAATGTTTAGAGATTTCTTTGTATGTTGAGTGTAAAGCGGCATTGACGGCTCTCCTGTCTGTGTCTGCGTTGCAGCGAGCGCGCTGCGCTGGAGCGGAACATCCAGAATCTTCAGGAGCAGCTGGAGACGCAGCGACAGGAGGCGGAGAAACTGCAACTAGCAAATAGCGACCTGCAGAGACAGAGGGACCTCCTGCAAGAGGAGAAGGAGGACGCGTGCCAGGACCGCAACCGGGCGCTGCGCGAGGTGGAGAGAGGGTGAGCGAGCGTGTTCATGATCATCACAAACATATTTATCTCATACTGCGAAATCTGGCGACCAAAATATACCGGGAGCTTCTCACAATGCACATTACCAGCAAGTCAGACAGAGCCCGCCTCGCTTCCTGGCTGGAGGACGTCCAGCATCAGCTAGCACTTTCCTTCCCCAGCCTGACTGTCCCTGGCCCCGCCCCTTTCATTCATTGGATTTCAGTTCTGTCAATCATAGTGGCTCAGCATCACATGTGGGCGTTACCTAGGTTGGTCTGCATGCAAATACAACCTTGCCTAGGACCGCCCACTTCTCCAGGCTGACACCCACACAGCACTAAGGGCTCATTCAGGTCCGTACAGCATGTTTGGGTACCTGGACCCGCGCGCATGTGCATGTTCGGGTGTGCATGTGTGTAATTGCATGCAGCTGCATCCTCCCATAGGGAAGAACAGGCTGCTGCACGCAATTATACCCACATATCCCGTCTCTTCCAGGATCGGGTCATTTGACGGGCGTGCACTCTGTACCCGTCTGAATGAGCCCTACAAGGTCAATTTGGCCTTTTGTTTCTGATGACTGCCCTGTTGGAAGGTCCTAGTGAGCCCCATGTCCAGTTTCTGGTCCAGATTTGCCTGCAATATTTTCTGATAAGTTGCTACATTCACCTTTCAATGAATTGTGATGAATTCCCTGTGCAGGTGTAGCTCAGCCCCCACAACAGTGGAGATCCACCACCATGCTTCACAGTAGGGACGGTGTGCTTCTCTTCACAGGCCCCCCCAAACATATCATTCATGGTTGTGATCATAACATTGTGTTTGGGTCTCATCACTGCAAGTGATTTTGTCTAAGAAGTTTTCAGGCCTCTGCAGGGGCTGTTGGGCACGTTGTATGCGGACTGTTCTGTGGTTCTGTGGCGTTCCTCCTGCAGCAATGGCTGGCAGAGTCCTCCAGGGGTATGCACACTATGAGCACCACTGCAGGTTCTCCTAGAACAGTGGTGGCGATCCTTGGCACTCCAGCTGTGCCAAAACGACATATCCCAACATGCATCTGCCTCTGGGAGTTATGTCTGTGGCTGTCAGAGCCTTGCAATGCCTCATGGGACTTGTAGTTCCAAAACAGCCGGAGTGCCGAGGTTGGCCACCACTGGCCTAGAAGGACGCAGGAGGTTATTACTGCTCATATGATTGACATTGTACCGTTCACGATGGGCGCCATTTTCTCGGTCCGCAGGCACAAGGCTCAGGAGCAGTTGGAGGTGAAGCTGTCCACGCTGCGGAAGGAGCTGGTGGTGGTGAAGGAGACTTTGCAGCAGTCCAGCCTGGAGAAGGAAGTGTCCGACGCGGAGAAAGCCGACATTTCCCAGGCCTTGTCTAAGGTGAGATCTCCGCCCGGAGCGCGCTCTCCCTAATCCCGGACGAGGCCCATTTACTGTCCAGCAGATAAGAAGATCTAATGACGGCTTTCCAATACTTAGTGACCCATTGACCTGGAGAAAGCACGCCGCATGGCGTTCATCCATACGTTTCACTGTCCGCATGCTTCTTCCAGGTCACAATGATATCAACTGAGCCTAGGGTGACGGGAGGACGCTAGTTTGTGTCCTCCCGTCACCCTAAAGAGAACTATGGGGAAAGCCCTGACCCCCATACTTCTCCTTTCAATTAAATCTTTAGTCCTTGATGAGATTTCTAGACATGGACACAATGTGATCTGTGTGATATTCAGAACCTGATGTTGGTTCTGCTCCCCACCCACATAGGCCTCATTCACACTCGGCCGGCATGTACAGCTCCATGCTGTGTGCACGGCCGTATCGGGCAGCTCCCGGGAAGGACGGGGGCTGCGTGTGATTAGTACGCAGCCCCCGTCCTTCTCTATGGGACTACGCGGCCGTACGCCCCCCCCCCCCCCCCCCC